GCGCCACGAAGCGTGTGAGGGGTGTGCCGAAATGGGTGCTGGTCTGTTGTGGAGACCCTGCCGCTGGGGCCGTCGGTGGGGCTCCATATGGGGCCACGATGCGTGTGAGGGGTGTGCTGAATCTGGTGTGGGGCCGCCATGTGGGCCCTGCCGCTGGGGACTTCGGTGGAGCTCCCTGTGGGGCCACGATGCGTGTGTGGGGGGTTTGCCGAAATTTGGCACGGGGATGGGAGGAGGAGGGGGAGGAGGAGGAGAAGGAGGAGGAGGAGGAGGAGGAGGAGGAACAGGAGGAGGAGGAGCAGGAGGAGGAGCAGGAGGCGCAGCACCCAACACCACAGGATGCTTGTGACAAGCAGTATAATTACCAACAAGCGCTCAATCCCGCATTCCTTCATCGATGGCCAAAGCTGCTTGCGACGTGGTAGCACAATCCTCAAATGCATGTCCTCCTCCCGCCTGCTTGTCCTCCCCCTCCTCCTCCAACTCCTCACTTCGAACTTCCTGCTGCTCCTCCGTCCTTTAGGGCACAAGAGGCGCTCCTTTCCTCACCACCCGTTTAACGCACCCCCATGACTGGACGCCCGACTGAAGACCTCTCAACCCTTTCCATGGGGCAGTTTCCTTATCGCGGGTTGAAGCTTGATGGGCCCGGAGCCCGTAACAGGCCCCTGGAGTCCCAGGCCCTGGATGCCGAAATCGTGAAAGAAGCTGGCAGTGTTGTTTTTTAAACGAGACCTTGGATTAGGTCTGGCTCTCTGGAGGCCTATGGAGGTCTCCGAGAAGGTCCCTGGAAGCTTCTCGAAGCCTCCAGAGGCCCACACAAAGCCAACAGTGCAGCAAAACCTCGATGCTCGATCCAAATCGCCCCCAGGAGTCTAAGAGCTGTTTTTTTCAAAGCGTTGGAGGTCTGAGTCTGGAGCGTCCCATGTGTTTGCAGGGGCGCCGCGAACAGTCGCAAGTCCTCGACCTCGTCCATGGGCTCCTGAAGAGCGGTCGATGTGTAGGATGGGGAGTGGGATCGCGGAGTAGGATCGAGGACTGACTTGCCCCCCAACAGTGTTCATCAGGCGTTCTCACCTGGCAGCACGAGTGATTGGATGGATGGATCCGCCACGGCTCCGCCTGGTGGGCGCCCGTGGGCCCATCGAGGACTCGCCTGGCGGGCGCCCGTGAGAGCCTTGTGGGGCCCACTGTAGATTGGACCACGCAGATTGCACCACACAGGCTGTTTGCCACAGAGGTTGTTCACCACTTAGCGCGCACCAGCTCTATTGCACATCAGCTTGCACCACATAGGTTGCACCGCACAGCTTGTAACGGATTGCGCTTCGGATCTTGCACCTCACAGTGAGCACTGCAACTTGCAGCTCTTAGGTTGCGGCACGTAGATTGCACCATGGTTGCTACGCATCCTGGGTGCACGCTGACGAACGTTGATTTGCCACTTGCGCCTCCCAAGAGTTTCTCGTCGGCATGGCTGGACTCCACTGGAGATTCTTGCCAAATGCACCCCTGGAGAGATCGGGGGATCGGCACTTGATGAAGAGAGCGGAGAGGGAAAGAAGTCCAGTTATCCTCCGTGGCGAAAAAGCCGAGGCGGCAGATCCTCCGCACTTGGGCTTTTTGAAAGCCCGCTTCGGGGCCCCATGGCCAAGGGTTGGGAGCTCTGGAGCTCCACGTCGCGGGGGCGGGGGGGGGGGGGCACAAGATGTCCGAGGTCAAGGAAGGGGAGCCATGCGAAAGAACCACCACAACATACAATGCACTAAGGGAACGCTACGACTCCTAGGAGAGGGGGTCGTCGCCAGCCACGCGTATGCTCCTTCTCCTCAAACTCGTTCTCGTCCTCGTCCTCCTGTCCTCATCTCCGACTCCTCTCCTCCCCCTCCTCCTCCTTCCTCCTCCTCCCCTCCTCCCCCTCCTCGTCTTGCGCCCCCCTCCTCCAAACCTTCTCGTGCCACATCTCCTCCGCTTTGTTCTCGTCCTTCTCCTCCCCCTGCTGCTGCTATCCGCATCCTCTCCCTCAAAGAGGATCAGCGGGAGGGGAAGGCGGACACCGAGCACGAGGAGTAGGATGATGACGTATCACGCACAGGACCTATGAGGTGGTGTGAGAGGACGAGAGCGAAGATGAGGATCTTTACGCGGATGGGGACGAGGAATGAGGAGGTTCGGGGCAAGGGTGATGACGATCAGGGGGACAGGGACAGAGAAGGATAGTCGACGACTGGAGCGGGATGGGTGTGAACAGGATGGGCAGGATTATGAGGGCGAGGATGGCAAGGATGGCCAGGATGACACATGGATAAATGAGAAAATACAGATACTAGAAACAGAAAAACAGAAATATACTGTAGGGAGGGAGAAAGAGAGAGAGAGAGAGAGAAACAGAGAACCAGAGCAAGAGTTGGAGAGAGGTGGCCATCTGAAGGAGAGAGGAGAAGGAATATGAGTAAATTAGGACCCCGCGGAGCCAGCTCAAGAAGAACACCACGATCTTGGATCGACCAGCTTCGGGGGTGCAACTCTTCGGGTCGCCTTCTCGCTGATGGCTCGGCAACCTCGCGGCCTCCCAAGACACTTGCGAGCCAACGCGATCGTCTTTGCAAAATTAACAATACTCCTCCTGGAGGGAAGACGACTAGGGCCTGGTAGTGAGGCGGCTTCCAGCGGGGTGCGGGGATATCCCGAACAACTGAGTGCATCGGCCTCGAAGCGTAGAAGGGAGGGACCGTAGCTATGTAAGGGAAAACGAACAACGTTACATGATGGTGGAGAGGAGCGAGAAGAGATGGGAGAGACGAGAGATGGCAAGACAAATGTAGAGAGGTGCGCGGGGAAGCATGGACGACGTCCGCCGCTTGGGGACCCCAAAAGCTATCGACCTCATCGGTCGAACGGACTTCGCGCCGTGGGCTGCTGTTTGTAAGCCCTGGCGATCGAGGCAAGTCAGCCCAGACCCGCTGGGCAGCGTTCGTTTAAAGTCGGTCCCCGGACCTTTCCCGGGGTCCACCCTGGCAAGTCATCAATCCGGGCTCCGTCAGGCCTGGCGACAAGGGGGCACCGATGAGGAGAAAGTAGGAGGAGTTGATCGGAGAAGGAGGAGGAAAAGGAGGAGGAAGGAGGGGGGAGGAGGCCGACCGTCCCGAAGAAGCCTCCACCCACAATCATCGACGAGACCCCGCACTGTGGGAGGTCAGCAGCTAAACGCGCAGCGCAGACGAACTCCGACGCCTCGAAATCCGAAGGCACCCATCCGCCTAACCCTCTCCGTCTGTTGTGGAGGAGGGTGAATGGGGGGAGGAGGAGGAGGAGGAGGAGGAGGAGGAGGAGGAGGAGGAGGAGGAGGAGGAGGAGGAGGAGGACCAGTGTAAACCAAAAGATTCATCCATGATTTTGCAATCTACCCTCCCTCCAAATTCCCAAGTCACAGGCCCCTGCAAAGGTTCATCTTCACTGAAAGAAGTACCCCGTTCGAAGACAACTGTTTCAAAATCCGAAACTACACCCGAATACCACTCTTGGGGCCTCAACGCCGCGAATCACCATTACTGTTGCGTCTTGACGATCCTGCATTGTGCCACAAAGCAATTCGTGGGACTTCAACGCCCCGAATCAACGCGACCGTTGCATCCGGATGATCCGACATCACGCCAAACCGCTATTTTTGGGAAGTTAGCCATGGGAATCCTTAGCGCTGCTGCAAAGTCTGAAACGACTACGCGCGGCGCTAACGCGAGAACCATACGTTGAAAAGGAACCGCCCTGAACCCGTAAAACTCTTGCAAATTGTTACGACGGATGCGAGAGGCGCAAAAGCGAGAGCCACATGTTGAGAACGATCCGCCCTCCATCCGTGAAGCTCTTGCAGTTATTGTTGCCGGGTGTGCGCGGCGCTGAGGTGATAACCACATGTTGCACACCACCTGCCCTCCATCAGTGACAATATTGCAACGGTTTAAGGCGGTCGTGCGCGGCGCTATTGCGAGAGCCACTATATATATATATATATATATATATATATATATATATATGCGCACCACTCTGATCATTTTTTCGGCCAGAGCGGGGGATCTGGTGAAAGCGAGGGCAATTGCCTGGTGGCGTCGGGCAGCAGCGGGCCCGGCGCCGAGCATTCAACAGAACTAAAGGCCAGCATGTTGGGCGCACACGGATGAAAAAGAAGCGGAGGAAGAGAGGAGGAGGAGGACTTGAGCAAAAACGGCGATGGGACGGAACCGTTCCCATCAGCAGGCGGCTTGCGTCTGGGGCGTGCAATGCTGTTTGGAAAACGGATCGATGCACCACCCTGATCATCTTTTTCGGCCAGAGCGGGGGATCTGGTGAGAGCGAGGGCAATTGCCTGGTGGCGTCGGGCAGCAGCGGGCCCGGCGCCGAGAATTCAACAGAACTAGAGGCCATAGACCATACTGGATGCCTGGCAGCCGTCATCCCAGTCGGCGGAGCCACAGCAGCGACAGCGGCGGAGCGGTGGAGCCACAGCCCAGCCGCAGCAGCGATGGGAGCAGGATAGGGTTCTGCGATGGCGGTCCAACGCTTACCTCCAGGCCCACCGCCTTCAAGAGTGATGTGCTGCAGGCCAGACTTACTGCAGATCCCACCTCGGCCACGGCATTTGTACAGCAGAGGCCGGGGAGGGGGACAGGTGCATCAGCCGCGGAATCGAGCGGCTTTCCTCCATCTGGTACCGTGTTGACAGAAATCTACATTGGCGTCTTTACAGCAAGAGCGGGAGAGCAGCAGCATACGAGGGTGAGACCACATCATTGACGAGCGCGGGTTTCCTTAAATGAACGGGATGGCGAGGCGCACGCACTCGCGGCCGACACGCATGGCGAAATGGAATGCGGCGTTGCCTACGCGGAGCCTAGCAGCGGCGTCGCCTTGAAGGCCAGGGCGGCCGTTCAAAGCGCACGGCGAGCGATAGAAATGGCGAGAGGCCTGAGACCAAGTCGAACAGGGAGGCGCACACATCACACCTCGCACCACGCGAGCCCTCAGCCAGCCTATCACGACGGCCCCGCGCACGCGTCGTAACAAGTCGAACGCGGGGTGGGCCGCCACGTCGATCCGCAGGACAGCGTAGTCGGACTTCCTCTCGAGCCAGCTTGCGACTCTGCCAGTGCAACTGAACAGGTCCAGGTACACCTGGTGCTTGCGCGAGCCCGAGAGGGCGGCCCGCAGCGCGGCTCGCCAGTGCCGGCGCACCGCCGCGTCTGTCAAAACCACGGCAGCGCCGCCTGTGTCGCCGCCGCGCCAGCTGCGCCCTGCGCGGAGCGCGGCGCGCGAACCCGCGGCGGCGGCGGCGGCGGCGGCGCCTGGCCCCGCGGCAGGTCGCCCAGACGGGCGTCGGCGTCCTGCTCGAACACCGCCACCTCGGGGCCGGGCCTCGGGGCCTCCGCGAGGTCCCTGACGTGCTGGGCGTACCCTATCGTCGGGTTGTCCGACTGGGGCCTCAGCTTGGCCTGGGTATCCGCGAGCTCCTTGCCTAGCACTGCAGCTCCGAGAGGGGCTCCGCCGTGGCACTTTAGGTACGGGTGGCAGTCTCGGTTGCCCAGCTGGTCGAACACCGTCCTGAACTTGGCGTCGAGGCTCCGGCCGACCTGGCTGGGATCCTCCGGGAAAGGCAGGGGGCACCACATAGCTCGGCCAAATCGAGGCGCAGGCGCCACCAGCGTCGCGGGCGTCTTCTGCACAAGTTCGCTGGGTAGCCGAACCATCGTGCCCCAGCCGAGGGCTAGGGCGATGGTGAGGCCGCGCCAGTCCCGGTGCAGAGCGACGCCCACGGCAGCGACCGGCAGCTCCCTCGCCATGGGGTCCCGCGTGGGCCTCTGTGCCGGCCTGCGAAGGCTCCGCAGCCCGGCGGCCGTCCTCTCAAGCGCAGCCGCCGCACTCAGGCCCAGGCCCAGGTTGTGCTGCTTTTCAGCACCGCGAAGGCCTTGTTCCCGATGGGGCGAGGGTGGCCCTTCCAGAACAGGAAACCGAGGTGCTGGGAGGAGGTCGAGTCGATCGACGGCAGCCCGAGGATCGACGGCCCCCTCGAGTGGACCCGAATCACGAAGTCCAGGTACTCTGTCACGACGTACACGCGGGACGCCTTGCTGACCTTCCAATCCTGCAGCACCGTGAGCCCCTCGGCCCAGGCTCGCTCGTCTGCGCCTATAGGCGGGCTGAGCGGCAGACTCTCGCCCGGGCTGGGCGGGGGGCCTCGGCCCTCGCTGGGGTCGGTCTCGCACGGCTGGTCGCAGTCGCCGTCCGAGCTCGAGGATGAGGAGCTGTCGGCGTTCGCGCCGCCGGCGCCCGACCCGCCCAGGAGCCCCGCGAGCCCACCCAGCGGGTAGGGGTCGTCGTGGAGCGCGTCCCCGAGCCCGGCCGCGCCAGGCCCGCTGGGGTCGCCGGGCTCCGAGCCTGAGGCAGCGTCGCCACGGCAGTGGCGACTCCGACCGAGCGCGTCAACGTCCCGCCCGAGGGCCTGGTGCCCGTCGGGGCCAGCTGGCTGGCCACCGAGATGCGCAGCATGTCGAGGGTCAGCGCGAGCGTCCAACGTGTGATGAAGCCTAAGCCTGGAGGGCTTGTCGGCGGGGTTCCATTCTGACGGAATCCATCTGAGGATGAAGGTGGTGTCGGTGACTATGGATATGGCGCGCAGCTGCTGCAAGACGTGATTGAGAGTGATTGAAGGAGAGTGCCCTTTTCCAACCGCGAGTGCGAGCCCGAGGTTGTCGACCAAGATGAGGTGCCGATGACTGTGCCCGCTGCGCCCTCGCACTGCGTGCCGTGCGGCCATCACAGCCGCTCGCCCCTCCAGTGCAGTGATGTCCTCGTCTCGCTGGAACTCGCCGTGGAAGAGAACACCCCAGTCGTTGAACTCGCCGATTGCGGACCTCGCAACCCCCTCGAAGCTGGTGGAGCCAGCGCGGGCTTGGCGGCGTCCGACCTTGGCTCCTTCGACCGGGTCAATCCGAGGGCGCACTCGCGGGCCCCGATGGCGTCCAGCACAGAGTATCGCCAAGCCTCAGCTGACGCGGCGGTGCTCTCCACGAGCTCGTTGGCCCAGGTTCGTCCCGCCACGCCACAGCCACCTCCTGAGCCAGACTGTCCCCTGGAGGCGTCAGAGGCGTAGACGAAAGTGCTGTTGGGCCTCTTCGAGTCGGAGAAGGCGAAGACCAGCAGGGCGGCCGCCTGCCGCAGCTCGAGCTCCACACGGCTCCACAGCCGCAGGCGGCGGCGACCAGCGACACGGGCGAAGACGTAGGTCTGTTGAAAAATGCTGAGGAGTGACCGCCTCAGAAGAGCGGCCCAAGTGAAGTGCCCAAGCAAGCTGAGAATCTCGCCCCCCGTCGCCGAGCGGCGGTCTGCAACGAACAGCAGTGCGAGTCGGACTTTCCACATCCTACCAGGGCTGATCCCGACCGGGCCACTGCGCCTCTCGAAGGTGATGCCTGTGAAGGTCTGAAGGTCCTTGGGCTCCATGACACCCTTGCACTTCAGGCCGACCCGCTCCAGCTCGCCGACGACTTCCGTGCAGTCGGCAACGCAGCGGTCACCGTCGCCGCCGACGATGCACACGTTATCGACGTACACGCCAGGCTGGGTCGAGGAGGTGCGGGCCTGCAGGGGGGCGTGGCGGTCCTTGATGAGCGGCCCGGTGCCGATCCCCGACCGCAACACGGTGGTCCCCAGCAGCCTCTGGCAGAAGTAGAGGCTCCACGACCACCTCATTGGCAGCACCTACAAGAGGGCCGATCCGAAACGGGCGTCGGGCAGGTCGATGTCAACCCCGGCCGCCTCGGCCAGTTGTTGGAGCGAACCCACGTGAACGCTCGGCAACGAGAAATGCTCATCCATCTTGTCAGGCGACTTCACCCTGTAGAAGGCGTTGTCCACGTCAGCCTGAGCCATATTCAGAGGGGAAGAAGGATATGTACGCAGCGCCGCCCACGCGGCAGCACTGGGTAACTGGGAATGATCAGGGTCATGAAATCGTGCATTGACACGTCGTGTATCGAAGATGAGCTGAAGACGTTCTCGCCCACTCTTCCACACACAGAACACGCCCACCGTGGCGCTGCGCTTGGCCCCGACTCTGACGAGGCCGGAAGTGTGCAGGTCCAGGATGAACTGCGCATAGCGCCGCCTATCCGCCATGAGCATGCGATCGTTGTGAAGCTTGATCTCTTTATCTGGTGCAGGCGTTCGGCGCAACAAATGTCTCTCCCAATGTACCCACTGATCGTGCTCGAGGCCGCGCAAGACGTCGCTGGGATCGCAGCGCGCGCCTGGCCCCGGCAGGGAGAAGATCTCCCTCTGGTACTGGGCTGGTTGCTCGGGCTGGGTGACATAGCCCGGCTGGTGACCGCGCAGCTCCACGTGGGCTGCCGCGGGAAAGCAGGGAGGCGGGCCCGCCTGCTCGATGATGGACTGCATGAATTCCAGGCTGCGATGCTGCCCCGCTGAAACTGAAAAATGATCTCGGGCGCCGCCATGGCCATGCAAAGCGTTCAAGCTCTCGGCCGCGTCGGCGATCCAGTTCGTCACGCGCATGCGACGTCGTACTCGTGATCGCACCGATCTCGACAGCCCAGCGGGGCTGTCGGCAGTTCGCGCCGCCGCGAAGCCGCTAAGTGGCAGCAGCTCGCGGGGCGCGATCCCAGGTGGCCGAATCATTGGCCTCGGCCGGACCTGTGGCCGGCCGACTGGTCCTTCCCTGTGCCCTTCTCCTGGTACCTCCTGAGCTCGATCGCCTGCTGCTGGATCTTCTTCAGCAGCTCCGCCTCGCCCCCGACAGAGCCGCCGCCGCCGCCGCCACCTCGCGAGGGCACCCTCTCCTCCTTCGCCTGCCGGCGCTCCTTGAGGATCTGGGCCTCGTGGTGCGCCCCGGGGTTGATGTGATCGACCTGTGTCGGCACGACCGTCACCAACCCTCGCGACGGGCCCGCGCCGAGGTAGAGGCAGCTCCCCTCCGTCGGGACACCGCCCTGGACGGCAACGAGGCGATCACGATGCCGCCCGTCGGCGATTGAAGGAGAGCGCCCTTTTCCAACCGCGAGTGCGAGCCCGAGGTTGTCGACAAAGATGAGGTGCCGATGACTGTGCCCGCTGCGCCCTCGCTCTGCGTGCCGTGCGGCCATCGCAGCCGCTCGCCCCTCGAGCGCAGTGATGTCCTCGTCTCGCTGGAACTCGCCGTGGAAGAGAACGCCCCAGTCGTTGAACTCGCCGATTGCGGACCTCGCAACCCCCTCGAAGCTGGCGGAGCCAGCGCGGGCCTGGCGGCGTCCGACCTTGGTCCCTTCGACCGGGTCAAAGCCGAGGGCGCACTCGCGGGCCCCGATGGCGCCCAGCACAGAGTATCGCCAAGCCTCAGCTGACGCGGCGGTGCTCTCCACGAGCTCGTTGGCCCAGGTTCGTCCCGCCACGCCATAGCCACCTCCTGAGCCAGACTGTCCCCTGGAGGCGTCAGAGGCGTAGACGAAAGTGCTGTTGGGCCTCTTCGAGTCGGAGAAGGCGAAGACCAGCAGGGCGGCCGCCTGCCGCAGCTCGAGCTCCACACGGCTCCACAGCCGCAGGCGGCGGCGACCAGCGACACGGGCGAAGACGTAGGTCTGTTGAAAAATGCTGAGGAGTGACCGCCTCAGAAGAGCGGCCCAAGTGAAGTGCCCAAGCAAGCTGAGAATCTCGCCCCCCGTCGCCGAGCGGCGGTCCGCAACGAACAGCAGTGCGAGTCGAACTTTCCACATCCTACCAGGGCTGATCCCGACCGGGCCACTGCGCCTCTCGAAGGTGATGCCTGTGAAGGTCTGAAGGTCCTTGGGCTCCATGACACCCTTGCACTTCAGGCCGACCCGCTCCAGCTTGCCGACGACTTCCGTGCAGTCGGCAACGCAGCGGTCACCGTCGCCGCCGACGATGCACACGTTATCGACGTACACGCCAGGCTGGGTCGAGGAGGTGCGGGCCTGCAGAGGGGGCGTGGCGGCCCTTGATGAGCGGCCCGGTGCCGATCCCCGACCGCAACACAGTGGTCTCCAGCAGCCTCTGGCAGAAGTAGAGGCTCCACGACCACCCCATTGACAGCACCTGCAAGAGGGGCGATCCGAAACGGGCGTCGGGCAGGTCGATGTCAACCCCGGCCGCCTCGGCCAGTTGGTGGAGCGAACCCGCGTGAACGCTCGGCAACGAGAAATGCTCATCCATCTTGTCAGGCAACTTCACCCTGTAGAAGGCGTTGTCCACGTCAGCCTGAGCCATACTCAGAGGGGAAAAACTATCTGTACGCAGCGCCGCCCACGCGGCAGCACCGGGTAACTGGGTATGATCAGGGTCATGAAATCGTGCATTGACACGTCGTGTATCGAAGATGAGCCGAAGACGTTCTCGCCCACTCTTCCACGCGCAGAACACGCCCACCGTGGCGCTGCGCTTGGCCCCGACTCTGACGAGGCCGGAGGTGTGCAGGTCCAGGATGAACTGCGCATAGCGCCGCCTATCCGCCATGAGAATGCGATCGTTGTGAAGCTTGATCTCTTTATCTGGTGCAGGCGTTCGGCGCAACACATGTCTCTCCCAATGTACCCACTGATCGTGCTCGAGGCCGCGCAAGACGTCGCTGGGATCGCAGCGCGCGCCTGGCCCCGGCAGGGAGAGGATCTCCCTCTGGTACTGGGCTGGTTGCTCGGGCTGGGTGACATAGCCCGGCTGGTGACCGCGCAGCTCCACGTGGGCTGCCGCGGGAGAGCAGGGAGGCGGGCCCGCCTGCTCGATGATGGACTGCATGAACTCCAGGCTGCGATGCTGCCCCGCTGAAGCTGAAAAATGATCTCGGGCGCCGCCATGGCCATGCAAAGCGTTCAAGCTCTCGGCCGCGTCGGCGATCCAGTTCGCCACGTGCATGCGACGTCGTACTCGTGATCGCACCGATCTCGACAGCCCAGCGGGGCTGTCGGCAGTTCGCGCCGCCGTGAAGCCGCTAAGTGGCAGCAGCCCGCGGGGCGCGATCCCAGGTGGCCGAATCATTGGCCTCGGCCGGCCGACTGGTCCTTCCCTGTGCCCTTCTCCTGGTACCTCCTGAGCTCGATCGCCTGCTGCTGGATCTTTTTCAGCAGCTCCGCCTCGCCCCCGACAGAGCCGCCGCCGCCGCGGCCACCTCGCGAGGGCACCCTCTCCTCCTTCGCCTGCCGGCGCTCCTTGAGGATCTGGGCCTCTTGGTGCGCCCCGGGGTTGATGTGATCGACCTGTGTCGGCACGACCGTCACCAACCCTCGCGACGGGCCCGCGCCGAGGTAGAGGCAGCTCCCCTCCGTCGGGACACCGCCCTGGACGGCAGCGAGGCGATCACGATGCCGCCCATCGGCCGTCTCGGCCTTCCGCATCAAGAACTCGATTGAGGCGACCCCGCCGAGGATCGACTGACCGAAGCTGAGGCCCAGCTCCGCCATGCGCATGGTGAGGTCGCTGCCGCCGACACCCTCGATCGTGGCCTCCCGGCTACACTCGTGCTCCCACTTCGTGTAGCGGGCCCGAGGGAGCTGATCCAGGCAGGCCAGGGCATCCCGAGGCCAGGCGGCCGTCCTCGGACCCACGGTAGGCCACTCAGCCCACTCCGTGGTCTTTACCAGGCACGCGGCCTCAGTGAAGGGACGACGGCAGCTGCCGTCGGGCGTCGTCTTGATGCCCAGCACCCGCGCGTCTGTCTCCGAGCCTGGGCCGGGCACCGAGGGGACCACCGCCTTCACCGGCACGGCGTCGGCATCCTGCATGGCGACGCCAACCCTCCCCACGACCAGATATCCGTCGATGTCCAGGTGGTGCGCGGCCTGCCTGAGCTCCGATGGGTCCTCCGCTGCCAGCACGTACCAGCTGAGCCCGTCGCTCGCGGGCAGTGGGCCCGATCCCTCCGACGTGCCTGGATAGAGGTCCTCGGCCGGGCTGGTGCCCGCCCCTGCTGCTGGGGATGACCTCCACGGGGCCTTCCCCTCCAGCGCCTCACACACCTCGACCACGGTCAGCTCACCATCGACGCCGTATGCGGCACTCGGAGCCCTCCATGGGCGCCCGAACGTCATCTCCGTCATCAAAGACCCGTCGTTTTTCAGCGCCACGCCCCTCGCGAGGAGGCCCTCCGACAAGATATGAGGGTACACGTCCAGGTCCCGAATGGGGGCGTACCGCACGCACCGACTACCGATCTCCGCCTGGCTCGGGGTAACCTCCAACTCTGCCTCGCACTCCGAGCTCTGGCACTCGCACAACTGGATCAGACCCGCCCAGGTACAGCCCAGGCGGCACATAGGACATGACCTGCGAGGCAGCAGCCCAAGGTCAAGCGCACGGCAACGGGGAAGCCCGCCGGCGGACAGAGGTTCGCCAGCGATCGGATGCTCCCGAACGAGCCCGAGGCCAACACACAGTCGAAGCTTCTTCGGCCAGCCGCGCGCGCCCTGGCCCAACCGAATCGAGAATGGCGATTACGCCACTGGCGGTTTTGCTCAGGAGGCCACGGAATTCCAAGAAGCTGGGATGGCGTTGCCGCCCGAAATACTTGAGCAAAAACGGCGATGGGACGGAACCGTTCCCATCAGCTGGCGGCTTGCGTTTGGGGCGTGCAATGCTGTTTGGAAAACGGATATATATATATATATATATATATATATATATAAAACACCCGCCCTCCATCAGTGGAGCTGCTGCGAAACTCAAACTTCAAGTGGTCCGGCCTTTCGACCCGCTTCGGGGTGCGACAGGGAGGAGTTATTAATAAGGAAAAGGAATGGAGGAGCAGGAGGAGGAGGAGGAGGAAGAGGAGGAGGAGGAGGAGGAGGAGGAGAAGGGAGGAGGAGGATACGTGAGGAGGGAGGAGGGAGGAGGAGGGATCAAAACCCCGAAACGCTGGACTTCGGCCTCGAACGCCAGCGCTGGAGCAGCCGCCCTGCTGAGGCCCCCCACTCTCGAGGCCCCCCCCGCGGCGGACTGTCCGGGTCGGGCTGCTCGTCGAGAAGGAAGCCCCGGGTCAGGTTCCGTGTGAGAGTCCTGCTTAGCGGCGCGCGCGAGGGGAGGGGGTGGGGCATGGCGAGGGGAGGGGGAGGAGGAGGAGGAGGAGAAGGAGGAGGAGAAGGAGGTGGAGGAGGAGGAGGAGGAGGAGGAGAAGGAGGAAAAGGAGCGGGAGGCGGAGGAGGACGGGGCGAGGAGTGGCACTAGCCGACCGTGCCGACCGTAGCCATGTTGGCTCCAATTTTTGAGTTCCCCGGTGACACGAGTGGATACCGCTGATCTGCGACCAGAACGAATCTTTCGTCAAATCCGCCCCTGGTTGATCCGTTGCTCGTCCGCCCAGGCAGCGGCGTCCATGTCCCACACCGCTTCCCTTCCAGGGAAGCATCTCGCATGGCAGTTCGGCAGACCAGGAGCGCGAGCAGCTCGCGCAAAAGCTGGCCCAGGCGCAGAAGAAGTACGACGCGGGATCCGATGCGATGCAGAATGCGGCCCAGCACGCCGCAGCCTGCGGCAAAGGCCTGAGCGAGCTCGAGACGAAACGGCAGGAAGTGGAGGAGCAGCCTGCAGCGGCGCCCCAGCGCCAGCTCGGCACCTGCGCGCAGCCCGCGGCGGTCCAGGGACCGCGCGGTCGCCTCCGCCGGCGGGCGCAGCAGCTGGGCGCGCCAGAGCTCGAGGCCAGACCCGCCGCCGTCGCAGCCGAGATGCAGCAAGTTCAACAGGTTCTGTATGCCAAGGCGGTAGAGGCTGGGGGTGGAGGAGTCTCTGTATTGGGTGGCGCGGCGGGTTCCCCTGCAACCGCAGCAGGGGCACCTGCTGCCCCTGGGGCAAGCCGGCCAGCCAGTGCGGCGCCCAGCAGCCCAATGACCCCTGCGACCAGCACCGCCCAGCCTGCTCCCGGGCATGCTGGCGCTAGGCATGCTGGCTGCAGGCGGCCAGTCGACTCAGCAGCACTGCAGCGGGCAGGACGAAATTAAGCTGTGGTGGTCGCAGCCCATGCCTGTGGCATCGGCGACGATGAGATGGGCGGCGTCAGTGACGAGGCCAGGGGAATCAAGATTCGTGCCCTGGAGATGATGGGAGAATCCCCCAGGTCGCTCGGGAGGCCCCGCTCTGGCCCGTCCTGTGTTCCAGACAGGCTGGTGTAGCAGATGCCGCACCTTCATAGCAGCGAATGTGACCAGTCAGCCAGGACTGGAGATCTTCAGGCAGTGTCTTGATGCAGACAGGTACGATGTTTTGGTTATGCTGGGGGCGAAGGCCCCTGCCTCGCCGCATGATGAGCACGAGCAGAAGTTTAGCCGCGAAAATTGGGAAGCCAATGTGAATCCAGCTCGTAGGGCGTCGGGCCAGCGCACCGTTGATAATGGTCTGGCTGGGCTTTCAGGAGGCACCCTGGTCGCCGCACCTTTGCGTTATGGGCTTGGCGCAGTCCCATTTGTCAACGCATGAAGGCCGAGACTCTCGGAATCGGGCCAGCCATTGAACATACAACTCGGCTTCTGCTCCTCTGGCCTCGATCCTGTCATTTGGTTCCCCCCATCAGCCCCCTGCGTTTTCCTCGCCGTCTTCCTCCTCCTCCTCCTCCTCCTCCTCCTCCATCCCCATCTGTTTCCGCCACCCCCACCGCTTCCACCTCCCCCCATGGAGGAGGAGGAGACAGGCGAGGAGGAAGACGACGAGGAAAACGCAGAGGGCCGAGGAGGGTGAGTCAAGGGGGGGATCGAAGGGAGGCAGATGAGCAAACGCCAGATTATCAGTTCAATGGCCGTTCCAATTCTCCGACTATAGTTCCTCTTCCTCTTTCTGTTCCTCCTCTTCTTTCTCCTCCTCCTCCTCATCATCATCATTGTCGTCATCATCGTCATTATCATCATGATCGGCTGCATCCTCATCCTCCTCTTCAACATTATCAATATCAACATCATCATCACACCACCGTCATCATCGTCACCATCACCATGATCATCAGCAACATCAATGTCAACATCATCATCAGCGGCGTGTGATACGGTCTGCAGGGAGCGTACCATGGTGCAATCGTTCCACGATCCAGCTGCCACCGCGCAGGCTTTGAGCGACATTGGTTTCTCCGAGCATGTGCGCAACGCAGTGTGATTTGATTGCTAAGTATTCTACTTTACTGGTGGATGCCGGGGTGACCCCACATGTCAGCATCGCTGTGCATCGCGCGGCCGATGCGATGGTATGTTTACTCTCCTTCACTCGAGAGCGCCTCAATGAAACATGCTGGCGACAACCGAAACGGCTACGCACGGAAAATGGCTATACAATGTCTGGCACATAGTGTGTGTAAGGCGCACGCGACTTAGGGGGAGTGGGCAAGGAGAGACAGCGGGACCACTTTTCGTGTGACAGACATGGGTTCACACCCCTCCTTTCCCTCAGCAACCTCCAGGCTAGCATACACAGAACTCGACCGATCCGGCTCGAGATCTTGACTTCCTGACTGTCTCTGCATGGCTCTCTTGGAGGCTGATTTCGTCCTGGACTTGAGGTGCTCGTTTAGGGCTCTCTCGCTCATGTGAAGATCCTCGTCTATGAGGGCGAGGGTGCCCTTCCTGAGAAGGTCGTTCAATGCCAACTTCCCCGTAGCAACGTCCCCTTAGTCAAGCAATCTGCTGGCATGAGTCCGTGCGGGACCCATCTGATCTGCAATCCCAAGGATGATAAGCTGTCCCTGATGACCGACAGCTCTATTGAGTTGCGCCAGTCGGCCTTAATGCCGGCGCTATTGCGGGTTAAAACATCGAGTACCGACTTCGCATCGACGACCGACACCGACGACGCGCCCTCGTTAAGAGAGCAAACCCGGGAGAGCGCGAGAGAGAACGGGGCCTGGCTGAGGTGCCAGTCGGGCTTGGCCACGTCAACGAAAAACAAGTCGCGGCACGTGATTTGGAGCCATTGGGACTCTGCCACAGCGGATGACAGACTGAGGGCTTCCGCAGCAGCAGTCGACGAAAAGGCACGCTTTATTCTCTGGGATATCCAAGGAAAAAGGGGCACTTTAGCTCTGCGATTGCTTATGATACTACTGTCTGCCGCAAGCACAAGACACGCTCCATGCGCCCCGCCTCGGCGGGCTGATCCCGGTCCTCCTGCGTCGGACATCGTCACGAATGTGAGTGATGCCGGATCAAAGTGCCAGATCGTCAATCGCTGGCTGGCCGTCGACTTGAAATATTTGCAAGCCTTACGGACAAGCTGGGCGTCGGCTGCCGTCGGATTCGGCAAAGCCGCACTCTGTAACGAGGCACAACCCGAAACATCTGGTCGGAATTCTCTGGCAACCCATTGCACTTGAGCAATCATGATCCGGTGCAGTTTGACCTCGCTAGGGGTCAATAAAGAGGGCGGACCCAAAAGACGACGTCTCGCGAGCCGCATCGGGGTGAATTGTTCCTGGACGTACTTTTCCTGATCGACGCGTATATTATTGTCATGCTGCTTGATGTGGCGACCTGCGTGGTCGGCCTGTCCCTCCTGCCATTTTCCAAAATGGACTCGAGCCTGCGTGCTCTCGTTGAGAGAAGCGCGGACAGAAGGATGGGCCGCGACCAGGAGGTCGTCGACCTCTATCAGAATGACCGCCCTGAACTCACCTTGGCTGGATCGAAGCGACCAGAGACACGGATCAATAAACGATTTTCGAAAACCGATCGAGCTGAGCCAATCAGTCAACGTCCTGTGCCAAAATTCCGGCGCGTCATTCAATCCGTGCACTGGAACGATGAGCTCCACGAGCTCCCTGGGGGCCAAATTTAGGCCGTGGCACGTTTCGCAATCTATTGCTCCGTTCGGTCGGTGCAAAAGATCGCTTTGGCAAAACGCGTTCTTTGCATCCGCGATTTGCAACTTCTAACCAAAGGAAGCAACACGCTGCAAGGTGAGAGGCGCCGTCTCGCTCGGGGGGGTGGAGCGTATACGTGAAGCTCGTCGGAATCTAGGCCATGATGGCCCAGGAAGCACCATCTCGACTTTGCCGCGGGGTCCGAACCTACTCCTTCTTGGAGCTTGAGTCTGCGCACCATCCTGGATCCAAGAATACGGTCTGGGCACCGCCTTCGGATTAGAGCGGCCTCTGAGGCCGGAACCGCACGTGCAGCTCTGGAGCTGAGAGTAGCCCCCCACTCCTTAGCGTTAGAAAAATCAAACAGCGACCTCTCGCGAGGGGACAGGGACTTCAAGGAGACCTCCGCCCCGCGGCGGGACGGAGGTGCCACGGCGCCGGGCCCCCAGCTTGACTGGTCAGCTGCGAGGACCTGAATCGGATGGG